CACATGTTGTTAGGAGAGGCTATTCTTTGAAGAGGGGCATCATACTAGAGGGCCAGTGAAAGAGGAAGATCCTCAATTAGATGGATTAACATGATGACTGCAGCAGTGGGCTCAGGTATGTCAGAGATAATGAGGACGGCCCAGGATAAGACAAGATTCAGATCTGTTGTTCATAGGGTCACTATGAGCCATACTTGACCCAACACTGCCTAACAACACAAGTAAACCCCATAACTATGAGTATGGTTCTGTGAGATTTGTGTTTCCATTTCATGGATTTTGGGCACCGCAGAAAAAGAGTACAAATTCCTGGGGCCTTCCTTAGTTTTTGTCAATGTCTTCAATGTAGCGTGTGTATTTTCCTTCAATGCCATTGCTTCTTAATCACATGCTACTTGCAGAAATGGTTCCATATCCACTTATTCTTTTTGTACTGTGACTCTGTATATTCCATCTTTTGTTTTTATGTTTCATATGTCACTCTATATTTTGCCCAAAGAATCCTTCTGTATTACAACTTGACGCTTGAATTTTTTCTTCTACTCCTTCAGTGTTAAAATGCCCATGTGTTCTTCTCTTTTGACTTTTCTAACTTCAAGTCTTTGCATATTTTGTTTTAACACTTTGGTTTGTTTTCTCAAGCTGTCCTTTGATATCTCAATTCAGTTCCTTCCACCTTCCACCCCCCCTATACTCTTATGGAGCTTAGTAGGGGAACAATAAGTTAAAATTTAGGTTAGACAGAGTCAGGATACAATTATTCAGTCAGGATAGTTTCTCAAGCATGCTCACAGGCCTTGCCTCACTGCTGTCGGTCAGTGCTATGCAGTTATTTTAGTATAATCAATTATGATGCCTATCTCCCTCCCTTCCACCCCTAAGCCCTTGTTCTGGTTTGGTGGACTGACTGTTCTAATTCTGGTTCACTGTTCGGTTGCTAGTTCTTTACCTCTTCCACTGCTGGTGGTGGGATGGTCTAGATTTCCACCTGCTGCAGAGATCGCTGGCCCCAAAGGGATGTTCTGCACATTTGGCTTTTTCTTTCTTGATGGTAACAACATTCTTCCTGTTAGGCTCTGTTATTTTATCACTTCTTTCTATTACTTTGGCTTCTCCATATTCTAGAGCAAATTTCAGAGTTTCTTCTAACATCTAGTTTAGTTGTTTCATTTCTTCTCTTTTTAAAGACTTGCTTCCTTCATACATGATGTCCTTGATGTCATCCCACAAATCCTCTGATCTCTGGTCATTAGTGTTCAATACCTCAGATTTATTCTTGAGATAGTTTCTAAATTCAAGTGGATATGCAGGATATGCAGGCATCCCCTTCCTAAACAACATGCCTCTGGAAACTTTATGAACTTAGAAAAATGATGATAGTTATAGAACAAGGTCAGGTCTTTCGTTCAGAGGGTCGCTATGAGTCATGTTCCAGACAATGGTACTTAACAACAACAAAAAATACTCAAAGTCATACTTTGGCTTTTATGGACTTTTCATTTTCTTTTGCTTCAATTTGAACTTGCACATCAAAAGTGTTATGGAACAGACCATCAGTTCCATAATCAGCCCCTAGTCTTGTTCTTACTGATCTATTGAGCTTCTCCACCATTTCTTTTAACAGATGTAGCTAATTTGATGCTTGTGGATTCCATCAATCAGTGTCCTTTTATATAGTCATTGTTTGTTTTTAAAATTGTATATTTGGATTAAATTAGTCTTTTGTCATATACAATTCTATCATGTGCCCTCCACTCTCATTTCTATTTCTTAAGCCATATTTTCCAACAGCCTTTCTTTTTTATTTCCAAATTTTGTATTCCAAGTACCAATTATTAATAATGATCCTTGATTATAATTTGGTAAATTTCAGGCTACAGGAGTAGGTAGAAATTATCACTTTATTCATCTTTGGTTTTAGTGGTTGATATATATATATATAATTGAATAGTAGTCATATTAATGACTGCAAATCCCAAAGGTACATGATTCGAATCCACCAGCTGCTTTGTGGTAGAAAGATGGTAGAAAATTTACTGTCTCTGAAAACCCACTGAAGAGTTGGTTATGGACCGGTTCCGACTCACACAGCAAGTTATATTAATAGGTCTCCTTGTATTACCATATCACTGACAGCATTGTACTTCAGGACAGATCTTGAAATGTTCTTTTGACAAGGAATGTTATATCGTTCCTCTTCAAACAGAAGAGAACAGAGCCCCTTTCTCTTCTGCACTTGAGTCAGAACAGACTCATAGCTGCCCCCTAGTGGATTTTCAGAGGCTGTAAATTGCACAAGAGGATATTCCCATCTTCCTCAGAGCCACTGGTGGATTTTCAAACCACCAGAGAGGCATAACCTGGGTTAGCAGTGCAAATATCTACCGACTGCACCATCAGTGCACTCTCAAAATTAGCAGGATATATGTGACTATTGCACTGCTCAGCATAGGGCAAACAAGGGCCAGATATGCACCTTGCATCTGCTCTAGTCTGTTTCCCATGGTAGATGGTCACTGGGTCAGCAAAAGACAGCCTGGTGAGGACCAATCCAACCACCACCATCTGTGGGTCCAACTTTTTAGATTTGCACACATGAGATGCTCAGTAAGTATGACTCCCTGAATCGACATCCCCTTGAAACAAGCTATTGATTCTTTAAGGTCCTGTTCAATGAGCACCTAAAGGCCATAGCAGCACAGGTAGGGGCCCAGAATTGGGGGGTAAGGGTCTAGAGTGATATGGGACAGGGAGAGTTGTGTGCTCCCTGGAACACACTGAATCAGAATGGCCAAGAAACAGTACCTGGGAGATCTGGGGAAAGAAACACCATAGGTATTTGGATGAATGTAGCAGTGAGGAGGGCTGCTGGGCCGCAGCCCAAAGATACCAGAGCTGTCTGAAATGGGTCTTACCTAAGCAGCACAGTATCCAATACTAGGACAGAATTTCAAGTACTACTCGATGGTCTCAAAGATTTGTGACTTGGCTGCCACTTCCTCCCGGGCCTCATGTATACGCCTAGTTCCCTCTCGTCTAGCCCCAGCACCCCTCCAGGATGCTTGTTCCTTCTGGCCTTTGACCCTGGAAAGATCTTTCAAATCTCCAAATCAGTGTCACCTACTCCTCATCTTTTAGTCTTAGTGCAAATGCCACTTCCTCTGTGTGGCCTTCTCTCACCATCTAGTCCAAAGAAGCACACCTGCATTCAGTTGTCTTCTATTTGTACTTTCCTTTCTAGTCCTTGGGTGTGTACTGCTTTATTTTCAGTCTCCTGCCATGAAAATGCAAATCAGCAGGAACAGAGAACCTGGCATTTTACCTTCTCTGTAGCCAGCACACGGTTGGCACTCATATAGATGCTCTGAATCACTTTAGAAAATGCCATGGAAATAATCATGCTTCTCCTTTTGTTCTGGCTGCCAGGGAGCATCAAGCCAAATATGCAACTCTATCTCAGTATCTTGGTTAGCCCATTTCAGTCGACATGTCTGAATTTTCCTCCTGCCCTGACCACAGTTCTCTAACTGAGGCGTTCTCATTTGTATAAATGGCACAGCAGGCTTTATCCAATATTTGATGGTTCCAAGCGTAGGCATGCAGAAAGCCAGCCCCCCATTTGCATCCTTTCTCTCACTCCACTAACTCCAGCCCCACCCTGCGCTGGTGTCTACCTGCCCAATTCAAATCCTTCTCTGCTCTTACTCCACCCTGTGCAGTAGACTCTGACCACGCATGCCCAGGCCTCGGGAAATGAGGGCAGCCAGCACTGGGCTCCCTGCCCAGGCCTCACACACCTCTTCCTCACACACCAGCAACCAGGTGTCAGTCTCTTCCTGGTCATCTTTCACGAGCTCACACTATTGGAGACGCATGTAGAATTCTCACAGTTTAGGGCAGGTAGTTGACAGAGGGAAGCAGTAGCCAGGTCCTGGTAGACATGGCGGAGTCTCCAGCAGGCCCACTTCCACTTCCTGGTAATGTTCAATAAGAGCAGCCGCTCTCTGGGTCCAGCTTTCAGCCCAAAGACCTCAGGATCCTCTGATCACAGCATCTGCTGAAGCTCTGAATCTAAGAAGTCTTGCTGGGACTGCAGGAGGTTCAAGGCAGAATGCTACTGATACCTCTGGCTCCTGCCCAACCAGGGCTCATGCAGGTCTTAAACTTTGGTGCCGCTACCATCTACTAAACTTTGAAGTCTTCAGAACTCCAGCCACTGACAAGAGTTTTGTAGGCCCTCTAGGAAGATGCCACAGTGGGAAGCCTGGGTGGGGGGGAGCCACTTTGGTCTGCAGGGAGGATCTTAAAATCTTAAAATGCATTATCAAACCAAGACATCAGGAAATTCCATTGACTAATTAGGACTCCTGGCTTCTCTTGGGAAATCAGTGTCTCTGGTCACACTGGGCTGGGTTTGGAAGGGATAGACATTCTCACGGTCACCCCACATGTACCTCCCCCTTCAACCTACACATTTGTTTATATCTAAAATCAGATTTGTGTTTGGCTTAACATTTTTTGATAAGTCTCTATCAAGAGAAGTCTCTGGGGTAGACTTTTAAACATCAACCCAATATAAAAACAGGTCAAAGTTAAACAGCTCTGGTTAGAGGCAGGGCTGTGTCCCTCATCCTTGACTCCCACAAATCACCCTCCCACCCCATCAGTCTGTAAAGCCTGTCCACAGAGCATGGATTTTAAGTCACAAATGTGGAAACATAAAGTCCACCAAATGGATATCCCAGCTTTAATGCTCCCAGAAATGGGGAGTCTACAACCCCTGGGACAGCCTAATCCATCCCTGCTGTGCTTTTTCATTATACTTTTCCCTCCTTCCCTTAGGCCACAGGCCTCCCCTCTCCAGTGAGGAGTGGGGTTCCGAGCCTGTGTCTCTCTCCTCTGGTCTGGCATCTTCAGCTCTATTTCCATATGATGTTAAAGCTAGGAGGGGCTCCAGGCCAGCAGCTCCCTACTCGTGTCCAGAACCAACTTCCACGTACCTTTAGCTCATTGAGATATCGTCTCGTATGCACAACCAGCAGGTCCTCTTCTGAGGCTTCCCGGGCCTCCACCAGCATGTTGTCTGACAGAAGCTTCTCCTCTGAAACAAACAAACAAACAAAAATAGTGCCCTGCTGCCTGCTGACCTCCAGGCTGCCCCAGCACCCAGGGTGTACTTTTGGCCAAGGCCAGCACCTCAGAGAAAGGGTGTGTGTGTGTGTGTGTACTGCTAGCTCCTAAGAATCCTTGGAAGCAGCCTTCTTGCAGGTCAGTATAGACACTGACTACACTTTCAGACACCAGGTAAACAGAGACCCCATGTTTCTAAGCCACCAACAGCTGATCCTGGGCCTGAATGAGCAATTCAGAGGCAGGTGACACAGGTGTCAAAACTGAAGATCCTCATGTGAGCAAAGCAATTATCCATCTCTGTCAGATTTCTGATAATATCTGTGGGGTCTCAGTGGTGCTGAGAGGGCTGCTTCCTGACACCTGTCTGATCTTTGCTCTATTTTAAATGAAAAGACCCCTAGTCTTTATCTCACAGGCCACAGGCAGCAAAAACTGGCTCAAATAGAATCATGCTGCTATGCTTTCATGGTATTTATCTTGTACCATGACCTTTATTGCAACTGAAATGGACTTTGCCTAACTCAATGACATGTTTCCTTTTAAAACAAGCTTAAAGTTTTCTAAAAGGACGCTAAGCAAATACAAATATGAAGAAAATCACACACCAGGTAGTATAAGGAGGTGGCAAAGTCCAAAGAGCGGTTTGCAAGAGGCTGATATTTGGGAAACAGGTTTCCCTCATGCTTTGCATACACCTGACAAGATTCACTTCATTCTGTAAATGAAGAAAGAGAGGCTAAAAGCAAAACGTGCTCTGAGGTGGGGTGGGGAGGCACAGTGAGGCCATGACACTTGGGCACTATGGAAACTAGCATGGCAAGGTTGGGCTTTAGGGGACCTATTTTAGAAATCAATCCTGGTAGAAACCTACTGGTTGCATATGTTTCCCACATAACAGCTCCGGGCACGTGCTCCTCCCAGAATGTTAGATGTCCCTTCATTACTTTCAGGCATAATCATCGAAGTCTTTCACTATAAGGTTCTTGCTTCCTCTCCACCCTCACCACTGGTGTAGATCAAGAGGAAGCTTGGAGATGTCTGTGAGCTCTGAGACAGAGACAGGAGCACGTTTGTTGAGCTCCTGGGTGGCACAGGAGTCTGTGGAGATGCGATCAGGAGAGCAATTCAAGCTGATGTGTTGGACATAAGGGTCAAATGCAGGAAGGCAGCAGGACGGCAAGATGCAAGACAGGCCAGGCCCCACACACCTTGCTGGTGAAACAACACCTGTGTGCTTTTCTACCAATATGTTCCTTACTGGTACTATGGCAAATGGAAAATCGTTATAACTTGCCAATTGAAAAAAAACACCCCAAATATTAAATACAATGGAAGTGGCCATTGTTGTTAGTCCCTAATTTGATCCTGCTTTTCACAAGGCAGGGAGGCCTGCTCCAGATTAAAAGGGAGATGGGTAAATCTTGAGAGGTCTTCGTCATAGCCTAGTCTCAAAGGGAGGACGTCTCTTTGGTGCAATCAGAAAGATGATGCAACTTAAAAGATACTAATGCTTCATTGCATGCCAGGCAACACTCACAGTAGCATTCTCTACCTCCCTCCATGAAAGCAGCCTTGGTAGAGAAAAGAAGGAAGGCTGTGCAAACACGAGTCTTTAGTGATGCCTGTACTGGCCACATAAACTCAGACCACTAGATTACAACCTGCAGCTAAGAGTGAGTCACTTAGCTCCAGAGCCAAACGAGCCATGAAGCCATGGAAGGAGCCCTGCTGGAACCTGAGGTTCTGCGTTCCTGGCCCGTGTTGGCCACTGAGGAGCTATGGACACATTCCCTAACTTTCTGGGGCCCACTTTCCTCATCTGTATTCAGAGGTCTGAAGCGAAGGTTCTCTGCCCCAAGGCTCCTGAGCTCATGAGCTATTGATTCTGGACCTCTCCAGCTTCTGCTTTCCTACATCCCTCAATCAGTCTCCCCTTTCTAAGGAGTCTCCAGGAGCAGAGGCAGGACTCAGTCATACAGCTATGGGAGTCAACAGGGTCGAGTTGGACCCTTACCAGCCTTAGAGGACTAGTTTGGAAAGACTTGGTCATGTTTGGAAGGTAAGTCTGGGAGGCTGAGTCTGGAGGTGAGAGAGTCTCAGGCTTGAGTGCAAAGAAAGATAGTAGGGACGGCAGGGATGAGGGCAGGTAAGGTCAAGGAAGAAGGTGTAGGGTAAGAGGGAACCAGTCATACCTTTCAGGAAATTGATCACTTTGCCCCATTTGCCTGCATCAAAGGGGTGCAGCTTCTCCAGGCCCATGAAGGTGATATTGTAGCGTGGTGAGTACACGATGGGCCAGCGTGTTGCTGGTACAGGCTGGTACAGCTGGGTTGTGTGTGGCCTGCAGCATGCACAGATGGGACAGCATCAGTGTGAAGAGCAAGCCTCACACCAACCCTCCCCAGGAGGTGCTTTAGCTGATCACTCAGCCCTGACTCCAGGGCCCAGAAAGAGACCCCTTAACCCCAGCAACAGCACCACCAGCAACAACAATCACCTTTAATGTGTGCTCACCGTACTTCCCCCGAAATGCCAATCCCATCTTCACAGTTCACCTGCACCTACCAGAGCTTGGGAGAGGGGAAACCTGCTCAAGGTCACACAGATCTGGGGAACAGGGGGGTACCCCTACCTTGTCTGGCTGTGATGTCTCAGTACTGCACCCATATTGTAGTCATTATACTCTACAAATATAGTGGTGCTGGGCTGTTAGCCTCAATTTCCTCAAGTGTGAAATGTGTGCTGTTGGGAGGATTGACATAATGAATCACACACAAGAACAGCTGTTTCCAGGAGAGCAGGAGCTACAATGCCCAGGAACAGCAGGTCTGAGCTCCCTTGGGCTGTGGTCGAACCCCTAGCCAGGGGTGGGGGTCACCTCGGACCCTGGCATGCAGTTGATCCACCCTCCCACCCTCGTAGCCATCAAACCAGCTCTAGAAACCTGTCACCAGCTTCTGTTATGGGGGCCTCCGCACAGCTGGGGGGCGCAGGGGAGGAAGAGACGTCAAACCCTGGGTGCAGCTGACTCCCGCCCAGGGAGGACTGCCTGGCCAGGTCGGAGAAGGGGCTCCGGCCTGGGACCCGCCTGGACGCTCCCTTGTGTGGCTGCCCCTCACCTTCCCACCTGGGCCTGCACCTGGCGGGCCCGGTGGGCCGCCCGCGCGCTCATGCCCTGCCTAAGGGAATCCCTGCAGACCCCGGGGGCCAGCTCAGGGGCCCGGCCCGTGTCCCCACCCCCGCCGCACTCACATCCCGGGGCCGGGACCTCACCGCGGTGGCAGCTGCTCCAAAACCAGGCGGGGCAGGGAGCGGGTGGGGGCGAGGCCCCGCCCAGGGCACGTCCCGGGCGCCACCGCCTCCGCTGGGAGGCGGAGCTCTGGCCGGAGCTGGCCCCGCCCCACTCGCACGGGAGCCTGCATCACAGAGGACTGGAATCCCGCCGGGAGCTCACAGCCAAAGGAGGCCTTGCCACCAAGGTCAGTCTGGTACGAAGTCCCGCCCACTGCAGGCCTATACCCAGTGGAGACCTGCCTGGCTCGGAACGCCACGCCCCCTGAAGGGAGGAGTCTCGGCCTACTGTTAGCACCGAGTCAGAGGGTTGGGCCGTCCGCCGTTGCTCCGCCCTAGGGGAGGAGCTAGTCTAATTGGCTAAGATCCCAGATTTCCCAGCTGGGCAGACACAAGGCTAAGGCAACCACCCAAACCCACTGCCATCCATCCCATTCTGACTTATAAACAACAGCCCATATCCAGAGGAAGGCAGACTTGGTTTCCAGGTCTTGGAAAAACTGTAGTAGCCCACTGGTTCAAGCTAACAGAAAGGTCAGAGGCCTTTTTCCGCTGGAAAAAGGTGTGGAAGTCAGCTTCCATAAAGATTTACAACCTTGGAAACTCCCCTAGGGGCACTTCTACTGTTTCCTAGGGCAGCTTTGAGTAGGAACCAGTTCCAAGGCAATGGATTGCTTTTTGGTCTCCTGGCGCCATGACCTCAGAACGGTTTATGTTTCCTGCACCTGCTTCTGTAAGTTATGGGACTCATGGCTCTGCTGTCTCTCAGCTGAGAAGAGTATAGAACATACCATGAACTGCCAAGAGAACAAATAGATGTAACCTGAAGAGGGTGAAACCAGGTTACCCTTTGGATGCAAGGATTTTGAAGCTCTGTCTCACATAGTTTGGTCATGTTTTCAGGAGGGACCAGTCCTTGAAGAAGGACATCATGCTTGGAAGGGTGGAGGGACAGTGCAGGAGAGGAAGACTCCAGATGAGATGGATTGACACAGTGATTGTGTCAGTGGGGTCAGGTGTGTCGTAGATTGTGAGGCTGGCTCGGGATAGGGCAACAAAGGTTCAGAACCATGTTAATAGGACTATCAGTTGTAGTCCACTGGATGGCATATAACAATAAGGTCACATATACATCCCTCCAGAGTATAATCAATTTCATTTCTACATCCTTGGCAGCGCTGACCTCATAAAATTCCATTTCCTTACTATAAGAGAATTGATGCCTTTGAGCTGTGGTGCTGGAGAAGAGAGTTGACTATACCATGGACTGCTAGGAGAACAAGAAGGTTTGTCCTGGAGAAGGTGAAGCCGGAATGCTCCTTGGAGTCAAGGATTCTGAAGCTTCGTCTGACTTACTTTGGTCGTGCTGCAAGGAGGGACTGGTCCTTGGAGAGGGACATCATGTTTGGCAAAGTGGAGGGGCAGTGAAGGAGAGGAAGACCTTCAATGAGATGGATCGATTCTGTGACTGGAGTGGAGGGAATGAGTGGGTTCAAGATGGCTAGGTTGGCACAGGATAGAACGGTGTTTAGAGCTCTTGTACATGGGGTCACTATGAGTTGCAAGTGACTTGATGGCACATAACAACAAGGCAGAGATGGCTAGTAGTACATCTCCAGGGACACTTCCCACCCCCACTCAAGAAAGCCAACACATGCCTGAGTGACAGCTGAGGGTGTCTGTGGGACAGCAACCTTGGACAAGGTCCAGAAACAGCCCTAGAGCACAGACACAATGGGTCTCTGTCTGCCCAGCTGTCTCTCCAACTCCACAGAAGCAGCTGACCACACAGATTCCAGGAACACTGACCTGGATGGCTGCCACAGGATGCGGGTGGGACACAGTGAAAAGGAATGGCATAGCTATTTAAACATTTTTATTTTGCATTTTTAAAATTATGGAGACTGTATGTATATGTACATGATATATCTTATTTAGAACCCAGTCCTATAAGAAGATGCATCCTTGCACCAATGTTATGATGAAGTAACAAGGCTTCAATTCCCCCCCCACCCCTCGCTTAGCCTTTCTTCTCAGGATAAAATTGAGAAGAAATAATGTTACTTAAGGAGTACTTAGTGTGCATTTCCAAATTAAGTTTAGCAGAGCTTCCAGACCAAGAGAGACTAGAAAGAAGGGCCTGGTATTAACTGGCCATACAATCTTATAAATAGGCTTGTAGTACTATCTGATATAGTGATGAAGATGAGCTCCTTAGCTTGGAAGGCACATGAAATATGACTGAGAAAATGCTGCCTCCTTCAAGCAGAGTCGAATTTAATAACACAGATGTAGTAAAGCTTTCAGGACCTTTGATTGATAATTCAGCACTTAAAATGAGAAGAAACAGCTGTAAATAGCCATTAAAAATAAGTGACACATGGAGGACACAAAGTATTAAGTTAGGAAATTGGAAGACATCAAAGAGAAATGGATTACATCAAGATTAATATAAAAAATACTATTTCAAGATCTATTTAGGCACTTACGTCTTCTGGAGTGCTGGAGCACTTAAGTGCTGGAGGTTGACTCAGGATAGGGTAACGTTCAGAGCCGTTGTTCAGAGGGCCACTCTGTGTTGTAATCGACTTGATGGCACATAACAACCACAACATCACCCTGAATTGCAACACTTTCAGTGACAAGATAATATCTCTATTTCTAGAAAAAAGACCAGATAATAGAACTCAAATTTGTACACTAGCCAGTTGTGGTGTTGTTGTTGTTAAGTGCCGTCTACCCTATGAGCAAAAGTCCTTGACACTTGCATGTGAGATTTTCATTCTTTCTCCAGGTTCATAGGGTTTCCAGAGGCAAGCTATTTACGGAAGTGGATGCTACTCCTGCTTCCAAGCTTGTTTCAACAGGGGAGGGCCACCAAGCACTGTCCACCATGGGTAACCATTATCGCATTTGACACGTCATTGTCACAGTGTTCAGCTTCACAGCAATCACAAGTTACCTCTGTACAGTAAGTAGACACACCAGGGCTATACGACCTAGAAGAATGTTTCACCAAAAAGAATGAAAGACAGGCCTTAGGGCTGCGGATTAGAGTCATCCACCTTGGGTTTGGTAGCATCACTTTCGGTACACTAGACCAACTGGTCTCTCTCTATGTCGTTAAGTGCCATCAAGTCTTAGGTGACTCATAGCGACCCTATGAACAAAAGTCCTTGATACTTGCATGACTTTCATCCTCTCTCCAGGTTCATAGGGTTTCTGGAGGCAAGCTATTTATGAAAGTGGATGCTACTCCTGCTTCCAAACACTAGCCAGTAATAGGGGGGAACAAAAAAAAGACCAAAACGGAAACTTTTTATCAACTTTTGCAGTCTAAAATAGATAAAGCATGCAGTTAAGGTGATGCAATGTTAATTACTGGTGATAGAAATACAAAAATTGGAAGCAAAACCAAACTGGACATATGGATAATTTTGCAAGACTAATGATTTATACATTGCACATCTTTTTTGCAACAACATACACAGGGCCTCTCAGATGCACATGGACCTCTCCAGATAGGAATTTCTACTACTTCGGGATGTAGAATACACAGGGTGGAGAAACTCATTATTCTCAGTAAGAACAAAGTCAGGAGCTTCTTTGCATGTGTAGATGTATGAAATATTTTTGTTATTTATATAATATATAAAGAGGGCCAAGCATTTCAAGATAAAAATATGTTAGTTGTAATATTTGCTCGGCTCCACGGTAAACACTCTTGGCACCAGCAGCCAGGAAATAAAAAAACGTATTGCGATGGGAAAGTCTGCGGTTAGGGACCTCTCTAAAGTACTCAAGAGCAGCGGTGTCTCTCTGGAGACTAAGGTGCGCCTAATACAGGCCATGGTTTTTGCAATCACTTGTTATGCATCAGAGAGTTGGACAATGACTAGGGAGGATAGAAGGAGAATTGACGCCTTTGAGCTGTGGTGCTGGAGAAGAGTACTGAATGTACCATGGACTGCCAAGAAAACAAATAGATTCATCCTAGAGAGGGTTAAACCAGGCTGCTCCTTGGAGGCAAGGATTCTGAGGCTTTGTCTGACATACTTTGGACATGTTGCAAGGAGAGACAGGTCTTTGGAGAGGGACATCATGCTGGGTAGAGTAGAGGAACAGTGCAGGAGGGGAAGACCCTCTATGAGGTGGATTGATTCAGTGACTGGGGTAATCGAGATGGGTGTGTCAGAGGCAATGAGATTGGCACAGGATAGAGCACGGTTTAGGGCTGTTGTACATAGGGTCGCTATGAGTCACAAATGACTCGACAGCACATAACAACAACAACAACAATTATGTTGGGCACAAGTATGAATCTATAATGGCATTTAAGGTTGTAGTTTTGGGAGGTTTGTACAGGTGCCCAGTAGACAAGGTATGTACTTTGATAGCTAATGTATGTGTCTGTCTGGCTTCCTATGATCTTCTAGTTTTGACAGTTATGATGTGCTAATTCTCAGAGGAGGTTTTATGTAATGTAATTATTTCCTTGGTGAGATCAATTAATTGTCAATTGGTTGAAAGGGAATTTCACTGAGGATGTGTGTGTCCTGCACCAAATATATAAGGAGCTCTGATAGGGCTTGCTTGGTTTTTGCTTTATCAAGGTCAGGCTCATTACCTGTTTGATTCTTTGGACTTGAACAGGTAGCCTCCCCTACCTACCAACCTTAAAGTCATAAGGATGGTACAGGATATGGCAAAGTTCAGATCTTTTGTTCACAGTATTGCTGTAAGTCATAGTAGATTAGACAGCATCTAGCAACAACAACTTAAGTATATCATGTTTTTTTATATTTATATATACATACACATACACACACATACACACAGAGTAGCAGGAGTCAAGAAATCAAAAACGTGTTACATTGAGGAAATCTGCTATCAAAGACTTGTTTAAAGTGCTAAAGAACAAGGAAGGATGTCAGTTAAAAAACTAAGGTGCGCTTGATCCTAGCCATG